AATTCTTGTTCATACCAAAATACTGTACAGTATATGTAACGCCAACTTTCAGTATCATCCCCTGTATGTAGAGGGTAGTACAACATAATTCTGGTCCATTTTCAAAAACTTGAACGGTGTAAAGTTAAACCTGTGCAAAACCATTGCATCATGAATGACTCGTTCTGCAAAATATGCTGATGAAAATGTCGTGCGCAAATGATAAATATTTTTCAATGTATTTATTTGAGTACCACGCACCCCTATAGTAAAACATGCACCCCTGAAATTGGGATGAAATCTTATCGCTGAGTAAGACACCCAAGACGTCCCCATTTTTAGTGACTGAAAAACTACAATATTTTGAAAATAAGTGACCCCAGAATTCGCATTTGGACATGAACTGCACCTGGATTAAAAAAAATTTCAATTGTGTTGATTCTTATAGTTTACTGTCGAAAAGTCCCACTATATTCAAGGGTGACGCGAACCTAAACTAACATTTTCTGAAAATTTATCCTCATCTATGACGCGCACGCCCTCTTTCCTGTCAATTTCGAGGAAAGGTGTGCGTTTCTCTCGAAAAAATTCCGTAAGTGACCAATGAAAAATGAAGTACCACGCTGGAATGCTTTTTCTGTGTTGGAATTGTTCACTATTTTAATTCATGTATTCGATGAATATGCGCGGGACTAACTGCAGCATGAATCTTGAATGCTTCTTTTGATAATCCGTCGCTTTTACGTTCTCCTCTTGATTTTGCGAACATTTCCCACCATAATCGAGCGTCATTCAAAAGGAAGTGAATTATTGAGCATAAAGAATACTTCGCACGAGACGGTTCTACGATTCTTTGATAAACCGTGAATTATTGTCCATACCCGGAGAGATCCGTGTGTGGATTCACTGTAGCAGGAGTTTGGGAGATTCCATTGCAAATTTTCTCGAATTTTACAGCGAGAAAAAAAGGCGTAATTTGTGGACAGGTTTTGTTCCACCCGCTATACTTCACGATTATTTCTATTTTCTATGTTCCCCCTTTAATCGCTTTTCCTCGGGTGCAAGCAGTTTATCCTCTCACTTGTTAAAATTTTTGTATGTGTCCGTTTGTGGGTTTCCCGCCTGTACACGCCATGGCCTTTTTCAGGAAAAATGTTCTTCCGGCGTCTTCGTTCCGAACGATGTATCGAGTGGATTTGGACTTCAGCAGAACCGAATGTGTCGAAAGATGCACATCATCACCGGGCCGAATGCGAGTGGGAAAAGCGTGATGTTGAAGCAAATCGGACTCATAGCTTTTTTGGCTCATGTCGGCTGCTTCGTACCTGCTGAAAGAGTCCAAATGTCGGTCCTCGATGGGATTTTCTCGAGAATCAAATCGCCCGAATCGCTCATTTCCGGTCTGAGCTCATTCATAGCGGAAGCCGGACAGATGGCGTATGCGGTTCGGAATTGCTCGGGGTCGTCCTTGGTCAGTACCTGATTACGAAAATGCTGTTGTTTGTGCTCGTTTTGAGACGGAGCTTGAATGTCCGAAAAGCAGTGTTCGTCTGACAAAATCAGAACTTTATACAAGTGGACTCTCTCGACAATGATCTTGTCTACAATGGTTTTATCTTCATGATGAATTTTTGAACCCAAGTATACGGGTTTCTCTCCTGGCCCATGTTCTAGGGGTTCTGTACAACAGAATTATCTCTGCAAAGAATTTTTTGGGTCTCCTGAATTTTATTGTAGAGAATCTACCTGTATATTCATGAAAATCTTGGGAAAAGCCCACGCAGAACTTCGTTTCGATGAGTGGTAGAACATATTGTGGTAACAAAAGCAGAAAAAAGGACGCAAAAAGGATTGGAAAAAGAAAATTTCAATGTACTGTAACCAAGTGCAAGGAGAAAAATGTGGGACATTTTTGAAATTGAGGAAATGTCATTCAGGGGCACCTGCTGTTGATACAAAAACCTAAAAAGTCTGCTGCTTTCGTCTGTAGTGTTTCCTTTATGTTGTGTTCAATTTTTCGAGAAAATGGAAAAGGTTTTTTTGAAAACTGGACCAAAGCAGAACTAAAAATGTATTCACTTCTCAAATTTTTTTATTCTTCCGATGATTTGTAATTTTGGAGAATTTGGAGCAGGTAGTATCTTAACATTTTTTCTGCAAGAAAAAAATCCTATGATAATGAATGCATTCAAGTAGAAGCTGGGCCTTCAGTTAGTCTCGTAGCATCTGTCTTTCTAAGGAAATTATAGCCTTCCACAAAACCATTGGATTATCCGCTTGGAAATGCAGTATGTTGAGCAAAGGTTTCAGTCCTTCTAGCATAATTTTCTAGTACTCATCCTAAGCCTGTTTGTGGTGTCATCTTATCCTCCATGAATAATTTTTCAAATGGCTGGGCATAATAGAATTCAGTCTCCCCTTATTTTATTGCTATAATGTACTGTAATCTGAAACTTCTCGCGAACTGCCCCTTCATTAAATTATTTTCAGATTACTTTTTTGAAAAAGGTTTTTTTTCTATTACATGTCAGTACTGTACTTGGAGCGACCATATCTACTTGAACATCATGCGCGTTTCATTAAGAATTGCACCTTGATTTTTTTGTTGAAAATTTGCCCAAAAAGCTATCCACTTCGGAAGACTGGCAACCCAGTTTTTTGTTGCCTGAAAATCAACTTATTCATCGAGTAATCATCAATAATGATATAATAATATGCAGGAATTAAAAAAGAGTTCAAACTTTCGAACGGGATAGGTGCCAAGCAGTATTTCCTATCGAACCATGCTTCACTTCCGTTTAGCACTTAACTTACGCCACTGCGGTTTTATGATTTTTGTTGCTGAAAAATGTACACTATACCTAGACCACCACAGGCACCCCACTTCTCTGACTCAATTTTCCAGGAAAAAGGTGCGCATGGTACTCAAGTAAATGCGCACATCCTATATTTTTGTTTTACAATTCATCCGTATATGGAATCTGAAGTGGAACTGTAATTGAAAGCAATTTTAATTTTCATTTCATTTCTGAAAATTTCCGATTTTTAGGTACTTGTGGATGAATTTGGAAGGGGAACGAACACCTCTGACGGTTCTACCCTACTAGCAGCTGTTTTGAACTCGTTCCTTGAGCGAGGCCCGAACGACTGTCCTCACTTGTTTCTCACCACACATTTCCATGGTATCGAAGACCTCCTTCAATTTCCTTCATCATCGGAAATGGTGAACTTCATGCGGATGGATTATATGGTATCCGAAACGAACATCGTGTATCTCTACCAACTTGTTTCTGGAAAAGCACGAAGGAGCTATTTCGAACTCTTGGCCGCTTCGATAGGAATTCCGGACGAGATTTTGAGAAGGTCGAAGGTCACCAGGAAGCTGGCATCTGGTGATCTCGAAGATGAAGCGTGTCAGCAACAGCTGGAGAACACTGAACAACTTTTCGACGCATTGTTTCATTTGGAAATAACCTCCGAAGAGCAATTTGAAGCTTCTTCGGAGGCTTTGTCAGAAGCAGGCTTCTAATAGCAATTTCGTTTTGCGGCCTATGAATTCAGTTGAGAAAAAATGCATGGTCCACGCTTCATGAATAGAACCTTCGATGGAAGGAATACGACAAGAAAAAGTGTACCACACGTTCGATGAAGATCGAAAGAATCATGATCTCCTATTATAAGCCTGAATATGGCGTTATGATGGAAGCGTATGATGCGCATGGAAGCACCGCATCTTCTGTGTTAATGATGTTCCAATTTCTTTTGTTTAATGAGTAGAAAAAGTCTAACCAGGTAAGGGAGAATCAGTGCTCCCCAAACGATATGGGTCCTATGAACTAGCAAATTTCTAAGATATAAATTCTGCTGGCCAGCGAAGTTTCATACAATTTTTGCAGGCCAGCAAAATTTTTTTAAATGACTGCCATGGAGTCCGGCAATCAAAACTTGTATTGCATTGATGAAGTCAAGAACCAGTAAAGTAGCAGTAGTGGAATGTCTTGGAAAAATTAAACAGCAGGGCTTCAATAAAGAAAGGTTTCTCAGGATTAATACGGTACTTGAAATAATTTATTTGAGCTGGTGAAGTGTTGCTTTAAGCAAATAAGCCAAATTTTTGTTTTCATCAGATGATTTCCATTGCCTTTTTCTTTCGAAAATTCCATATCAAGGTATATCAATATAATAGACTTCATCACTAACTTAGATGGATTCATCATGTTGAAGGAAATTTCCTGCGGACTGGCAAAAACCTTCCGAGAACAGTGGTGGTCCTAGGTTTTCAGGCTGTAGGCCGCTGAGCTAAGTGATAAATCAAGCTCCCCCAAAAGGGTCATTCAGCAACACTCTTCGAAATAAATTTTTTAGTACGGCGCTGGTGAATATTTTTTCCATGACGAGGAACAACTTTGCGAATTTAATTTTTAACTCCCGTTCCTAAATTCTGAGGTGCTTGGTTTTCTATATCCGAGTTCACGAGCAACATTTGTTGCAAGATCATGGAATGGGGATTTTTTTGTTGACAAACGTGACGTAATGAATATCGGAGTGTAGTTGTGGGGTATTCTGTAGTTGTGTATATGGCGTGTTAAATATTTTCCACTCAGCTTTTCTACGTTTTTTCTGCAGATCTCTTCAAAAAGATACCCAATGAGTCTCTTCTTTACTCAAGGATTTATTTCTAACCATTCATTTTATGTACAAATGTAATGGCGTGAAAATGTCATTAAAATCCGTGTTCATTAATTAAGGAATGCAAAATCAAAGATTCTTAGAATGGAATTCCCCACTTGATGAATCCTCAAGAACTTTCTAGTGAATTTTCAGTGCATCTAAAAGATCATCCCGGTTGAAGAAGAATGAAAACGAAAGGAAAACTGACTTATGCCATGGAATTCGTTGGATGTGAGAAATAAAAGGAATTATTTTTTCGTAGTTGACGAACGCCGAGGTTGAAGCTTTTTTTAAAATTCTGATTACGTTTCGAATTGATCGACTAATCGTTCTTTTTTTCCGGGCTTCCCAGGACTTTGACAGCATTTCAATCTTCTTTTTCCGCATCAAGTGAGTTGTGAGCAGCAATAGTTGAACTTCGGATTCAGTCTGTTGAACTATTGAACGATTTCTTCGGGAGGGAAAAGTCGTTATTCAACTGCTGAAGCTCTTTCATAACGTCTAGTGCGAAGCTTCCAGCAGTTGTTGCATCCATCTCCGCGGATTCATCACGATGGCCGATCTTAAAAGTTGCTCGATGGACGGAAGGTTTGAACAAATCAAGTCAGAATGATTACATTTGAATCATGATTCGTGAAAAAATTGCAACCGCACGTTTTGTGTTTTATTTAGTTCTTTCGAAAAGTCTGTTATCAAGTACAGGTATAGGTGATGTTGATTATATTTTCCCCATTCCTTTGATGCTGGAAATGTCACTAGATGTTCGTTATTCGTCAGAATCGTCGCTGTCAGTGATCGTCTTATTTATTTTGTGATTGAGACGTACCTTAGCTTGCCTAACGGGAAGAGTTCTAGTTCCGTCGCCATGTTGGACAAGTCGATTATTTTTTTTTTACTAATTTAGTGTACTGGATGTCTTAATTTTTAATTGCAATGTTGAATTTCGAATCTCCCTTCCCGACAAAGATGTTCGAGGATTAATTAAATTCTGGCATTTTCCGTCGCCAATTTCGACGAGAGGGATTCTAATAAATTGTGTCACTAAACAGCGGGATGTTGAGCCAGCGAATTCAAGTGAATTTGATCAGGTAACCTTCGAAACGTGAAATTAGCCGCAAATAAAGAGGCGTTTCGCTGTTCAAGCTCGTGTTTTCTTGCATTTCAAAAGACTGCAGGAGTGATATCATTTATTTGAAACTGTTCCTTTATATTTCAGCTTATCAAATTCGATGACAGGTTCTGGAAAATGTACGGAAGAAAGACATTCGCTCGTTTGAGGGGAATATTATTTGTTCTGTTCTCGTAATTTCAAAAACAGACCGGAATGTTTGATCTTATAAACTTGTCTTTTGGTTGGATTATTTCTTTTAAACGTAGTTCTGTATTTGGAATCAGAACGCTGCTGAGATGAAGAAAAAGAAGCCATCTGTTGATTTTCGGCAGAACCTTTCGCGCATGGTATTTAATTATCCCCAAAAGGCATGTGCAGTATTGAGCATATCTTCGGGCTAGATTTTTGCACGCTTTTGAAGTCCTAGAGAAGTCATGAAAATTAATTTGCCTTCGTGTTTCTTGAAAATCTCTTTGAATATCTGAAGGTACGTGAGAATTTTATTTTAAAATGTTCTTGTTGGACTTATATCACTGTGTGAAGAGTCTAAAGACGGAACCCAGCTTTCATTCATTTGATCAATTTACCGTAGGTATTAGTTCTATCCTCCCTCACGGCTGCGTTTTACGTCACATCGCATTATATTATTTGCCCTTGTGTAGCCGAACGGAACGGAAAACGTTCACATCCTGAAACATTTTTTGAAATTCTTTTTTTCACAGGACTGGTGCTAAGAACGAACAGCTCAAGTACGGATCACACGCAGGTGGACAGGACTCGAAAGAACCGTGTGCAACAACCGCGGACGATGTCGGTCCGGGTGTGCCAACGTCCCTTCTTTTCTCCCCGTCGTGGCACGACCAACTGGAATGGCTCGGGCTCGACGGGCCAGCTCCGACCGACTACACGCAGAACCAGGTTTGCAGACTCAAGGTCGAGGTCGACTGGCGTCAGCACGGGCCACTGATAGGGAGCCAAGGATGGCGCGTACAGGGCATCGCGAGCCACGCGGGGGCCTACGTACGTTTTCCGAGTTCTCGCGAAGGTGGTCTCGTTGACACGAACAAGCGGAACGAGACGACTATTATCGGTGAGCGGAGAGTAGTATTGGGTTTCATTTTACGGTCAAACCTTTGAGTTGAACTGGAGGGGACCAGCAAAAGCAACTTCGACTTCGGGAAGGTTTGAGTTTGAGAAACAAACATTTGTACGGGGGGAAAACAAGAAAACTTACTTCCGTAGAAAGCGTTTGTGAATTGGGTGCAGGGAAAAACCCCGTGGAAGAAAACGTCTCGCGGGGTCCAGAAATCCCGCCGGAATGAAAATCCCGGATCATGAATTTTCGTATCCGAAAATTCCCCTCGATAACCACAATATACATAGGTTATTTTGTGTACCGTATACAATTTCTAGATGATTATAAAACGTCTAAATGCAGTTCAATAAGTGATATTTCATTCCGTCAAATTTCAATCTAAATACGCACCCTGCAATACATTATATAGCATGAAAACACCTTTTTAAAATTCAACAAGTTTTTGACTATAAGATTTCCACTCGAAGGCCATGGAAGAATAAATGCACTGATTTTCTTGTCTCTGCCCCATCCCAGACACCCATTTACTTAAAACTAAGACACAATTTTACCATTTCGTTGTACAACGCATGGGATTTTCGGACCTCGCGAGATTTGTTGGTCTACGGAATTTTCGGGCCGCGTGATTTTTTTTTCTTCAATCACTATCCCGTTCTGAAAAATTCCATGCTTCGTCTGCAGGTCCCCCGAAATGCCTCGGTCGTGGACTGATGATTTTGCGAGAAAACTTCCCCTTCGCGGTGATGATACACTTGCCAGCCACCACGAAGATGGAATACTTATGTCCGTCTCGCGAAGATATCCGGGAGTGGGGGGAAATGTTCTCGGTTGACTTGTACGTCGCCTCCAGGAACCGGATATCCATCAGGAAGCTGAAGGCCTGCAGCAACAACATGCTCATCAACGCTGTCTCTCTCATTGGTAATCTTATCGGTATGTATACTCGAATGATGTATTGCGTTGCATGTGTGCTTGGAATTTTCGTAGGATTGTTTATCCCGAGTTGTCAGCAGGAAAGTGCTTATTACTTGGGTTGAATAAGCCGTTTCCGTTGAACGGCAAAGAACGATCAAGCGTGCAAAAATCTTCCGTTGAGAAGAAGAATATTAATATCTTCGTTTTGATCTGGTGATTTTCGAGAAGAATTAACGCGTACAATTATCTTTGAACGATAATTCCAGTAATTTTATTTCTTACATATTTGTGTTTCGTACGTTCAGCTAATTAGCTCAATTGACTTATTAAAGTGAATAACATTTCGAACTGACTTATTTCACCTTCCCATTTCTTTCATTTATTGAATGACGATTTTAGAATCTTGTAATATAATTGATTCTCCTTTCAAAATCACTATCACGCCTCCGAAGATGGAACAGGCTCCTTATTTTTTATATAAAAAAATGCTGTGTTCAGTGACGATCATATTGGTTCATATACAATTAACACAAAGAGTTCAAACACATATATACTTTTGCCGAATACAGCACTTTATTTTATCCGCAAATTGTGAACGATAAAATGCCAAACCATGTGCAGATATTGTACTTGAATCTCACCGTTGAAGTTGAGTACTGTATTTTGGTTTTCGAGCCCTTCAAATTGTGAGGATTATTATGTCCTCAAACTCCTTCAATTGTATTGTGTAGAAAAGAAGAACCCAGGATGATCTTGCTTCAGTTTGGTTCATATCAAAATTTCTTGGAGTGAATCAAAAATGAAAATGCTTGTACAAAACGGCGTATGAATATCTTTTTTCTATCGTTTCAGACCCGGGATGCACTTCTATTCTTGATCAAGCTCAAATTGACGTATTCATCAACGCGAACCATTCGCCCTTGATTGCTTCGGAACTGGAGTCAATCGCCAAATGTTCGGGCGCCGAACTTCAGCTCCTCGATGAAGTTGAAATTTTCCAGCAGAGCCAGTCTTCGAGAGCAACATCGTCGTCTCTTTCTGAAAGCGTCTCGGACGGTGCTGAGCCGCAGCCGTATCAAGCTCTGGATCAGAAGCACGATGACGACGACCAGGATGACGGGTACGTCGTTGGCAGGTTTCCCTGGGACAGGAAACCTGTGTTGGGGGAACGAGTCGTGCGGATCAAGGGACACATGCAATGCGTGCTGACTGCGTACGAGTTGGTCGTGCAACAATTCCCGGTGACGCTGGAGTTCACGACGCCGCCGGATTACTGTTTGGACGTGGCCTGGCTGGACCAGCAGTTCGGCAACCGGGTCCAAGTCGTGTCCCATGTTCGCAAAGCAGATTTCAACATATTTGGGAATACGTTGGAGCTTGCGGTACGTTCAGTATTAGTGATTCGTGACAGCGGAAGTCGGACTAGATGTTCTTTTTTCTATGACTGCTGATGTGGAAAGCAGAAGACTACAAAAGCTGTTCTGTATAGCTTATTCTTTCTTCCAACTGCTAACCTGCTGTTGTGGATTAATGTCTCTGCAGCGCAAGACTAAATGAGAAGTTGCTTCATTAAAAACGAGAGCCTTCGTCTTTTAGGGTAAAGAAAGCACGAAGATCAACCAGGGACTGGGTGCTGGGAACTCATATTTTAGAACTCCAAATTAGAGTTCGGGATTTAATCCTGAAAATTATCGTGACAATTCCTACAGACATAGATGCCGAGACAAGTAGAATTCATCTCAGCGAGCTCTCTCACAACTGATCTCTGACCATGAAGAAAGAAGATTTTTTATTTAATTGGCCTGGCCTTGGTGAAATCCCATAATGTAGTGTGCTAGATACATGCGGACTCTACTGCATTTTTTTTTGCTCTTAAAGAATTGTCTTCCAATATTACTGCATGTGGGTGTTCTATGATGAAATTCGCTCCAAAACGATTTTTTCTTGTCCCTTGAATCTTGTGGTAGAGTCCAGCTTTACGAGCTTCGTATAATTTAGAAGCCCTTGATTGGACAAGACTTTCGAAGTCAAATACGGTGATGCGTTCGAGGAAGCGTGAAAAGCGGAACTTTCCCCTAGTTTTTATGTAGGGTTGTTTATCTTCATGAGTTAATTTCTTCTTCGATGAAGGAGGAGCCGCACATTTCCTCAAAATATGGCAACAAAATATCAGAAATTGGTGAATAAACAACAACGTGAAATCTGATGAAACTGAGCCAAACTGGAGATATTCTGATGTCAACGATCGAACTTGAACTAAGGTGATTTGAAGACTGTTGAGGCGATTTGTCCTTTTCTCATCTGTATAGAAGTGTCCTTTTCATTGTTTATGGAGGAAAGAATATTTCTCAATTCCGGTTCAGTGAAAGACCGCAATGCAGACACGTATACAGTATTATATCGTCTCGTATATTTTATGATTTATAACTACAGTTCTTCCATTTCGTACCTATAATTTCTCCACCTTCCGCTGAGATCCGAAACGACCTTCTATAGCGAATTATATTGTTGGCGTGTCCGAAATTCTCGAAAATAATGCTGAACTTGCTGAAAAAATTGCAAACTTGTGTTATAGCTGCAGGAGAAAGACGTGTACGCCGTGCTGCAAATGGTGCACGGAATCCTGTCTTTGGAATGGCAACGGTATATGAACATATTGTGCGGCGGGACGAGGACTTTCTCCATCGGGGACACAAACGCATACTATGCTTGCTTGCAGCCGTGGAGTCTGGGTAACTTCTCTGTCGACGGTCCTCGCAGCTGCAATCGTAATGCCCGTCATTCTGAAGAATTTGGACATGAATCAGGTTCCTTTTCACGAGTTCGAAAATTGTCAACATCGCACTGAGCAGTTGCTCTATATCCTGATTTTTTTTTGTTTCCCCGCTGTGATCATGTATATACAGTACAACCCCGTTGAATCAGACACTTCCCGCGTAAGCGCCACTCTCGGTACCCGCCAAAATTTTGTGTTGAACGAATTTCCTCGATGTTAATTTTGTAGAAAATCTCGATAAGAAACCAAGCGTCATCTCTCAACAATAATGGCGAAGCAAAAATGCTGTTTGACATGAGTTTTTTCTTCTTCGTAGGATCTTGCATTTTTGAGCAAAAATATCAGAAGGGGAGTTTTAAATTTTGCGTCGACCTAATTGAAAAATTCGAATAATTTTGATGAAATATAATTCGTTTTCCGAAGGAGGAATCCATCGTAGCTATGCTCTTGAGATTTGTTGTTTTTCTTAGAAAACATCCGTTTCATCTATTTTTAAAGATAAATTCAGAACTTTTCATCAAATTATGTCAAAATTAAAGTCAACTACGATAAGCCGCCAACCCCTTTAACCGCTAAAAAGCTCTCTATTGACAAATTTTGGCGTCTGGTTGGGTTTTGACTGTGTATAGCACAGACTGTATGCTGTAATAGAATCTGTAGAGCATATCGAAGGAAATGTTGAAGATGTCAAAATATTTCGAATTCAGTCAAACCTCTTCAGGTTGAACGGCGAGGGACCAGCAATTAAGAAATTCGGTTTGGGGAGATTTCGAGTTAGGAAAACCAGCATTTTAATTTGGGGAAAGAAAGAAGAGCTACAGAAAGATTGTAATTGGTGATATTGTTAGCCTCGATAAAATTGATTCTTGATTTAGCTGACAGGATCCCCAACCTGGAGATACATGTTATGAGTTTCTTTTGCCGAATTGATCTTGCGCCATTTTCCAGTACAGATTCTTACATTTTGGTTGCTTTTATCTATCCTGTGTCCATAAAATAATAGTCGATATGCCTTCAGAAATTTGTTTAATGGGGATTGAAGGAGGAAAGTCTTGAAGTGAGGTTAGTTTGTAATGCATTGTTTCGAAGAGAATCCGGACAGGGACTTGACAAAAAATTTGATGTAGAGACGAAATCCGAGTTTTTGAAGTTCAACTATATTTGTGGCAATAACTTGGGATATTTTAGTATAACTAGGGAATGTGTACGTGACTTCTATACTGGCGCAAATCAATGCTAAAATATTTTACGAGAGTTGGTTCATAAAATTTCAGACCGCTTCGAAATATATCCAACGGAGTTTCAAAAAGTAAGAAAAATTCTCACTCCCATGGCCTCATCATTTGTTCAAACTTTATTGCTGTGCAACATAATCGCCGCCGATTTCAATGCATTTTTCCATGCGATAAATCCAACGATTAAAACAGTGCCGGAAATCGAGTTTCTGTGTTTATTTTTAGATTGCCATAAATCAAGTTCTTTTAGTTGATGATGCACCCTATAACTTCTGGCTGCTCTTATTGGCAGTGAAGAACACCGGACAGGGAATGATCTTGAGGACAGGGACAGCCTAATTTTCGCTGTCAAAAAGCAGGTTAATCGACAAACGGAATTACTTTTTTGGCTCCAAGATGTTTAAATGGTTGGATTTATCGCATTAAAAAATTCATTGGAATCGGTAGAGATTATGTTGAACAGCACGAAAGTGTGGCTGAATGATGTGCCATGCGAGAGAATATATTTTCTAATACTGAAACTCTGTTGGATCTATTTTTCAATAAGTCTCAAAACTTATGGAACAACCCTCGCACTGTACTTTTTTTCTTCTTTTTTCTTTTTGAAGTCCCGGAAGCGAATGCGGACATCTCAACGGGAAGTCACAGTTACGAGAGGATGGATTCGTCGTTCGAACCTGCCTACGGGGATGGCGCAGAAATTCACCGTCAAAACGGCATTCCGTTTGTCCTACCACGAGTGTCCGAATGGACCCCTGGTGTCGCGCAGGAGCATGTGTACGCAGCCAACTCAGTGGGGAATCATCAGCAGCAGTTGGTCAACATCTGCGGACAGCCGTGGCTTGTGCAGTCCACGTATCAGGTAGCGTAGAAAGAATGCAGGAATTCCTTCTGACGTTGCATGACTGCCTTCGTTGACAAAAAATTCGAAACAATGATCGTATTCTAACTGAGAAATACTGTATTGCACATCATTGGGAGTATACCTATCACATTTTCTCAAGATGCGCTGCATGCCGTTATCGAAATTAATGGCCTAATTTATTCGAATGCTCCGGAGGCAATTGTTTTGATCTGAATAGTTTATCATTTATGCTGGTTGAGCGATGAAATCTGCATACCTCGTATATATTTGCAAAATACATAATTCTGACTATTGGGAAATTAAATTTTTGATTTAAATGAAAAATGCATCCATTTGTGATAAGCCGATCAGGTTGTGATTTTGTGCGCTCCCGATGTAATGGACGAGAATATCTTCTGAATCAACCAAAAAAATGTGTCGACGTTGCCCTTCCAGTGCTTCGTTCATCCGTGTTCCGGTACATCCAGATACAACACGATCAAACCAAAGCCCCCGGGAACCTAACTTGAGGGAACAGAAAATTGAAGTCGAGTTTGGGGGGAAACGAGCATTTTTGTTGCCAGGAAGAAAGATTATCTGCAGGAAATTGTGAATGGTGAACCCCTGTGTCTTCAATTGCTTGATACATGTGTTGTCCGGGTGCTGACCTTGGGGACAATGCTTGATTAACCGGATTAGTCTTTCCCTTCGTTATTTCAAAACACTTCAAGCTACATTTTATTGCTTATCCCTTTTGTAGTTCAGTAATAAAATAAATGGAAGGCCTGGCGGGAAATTCGAGTTACCAGGTTTGAGGATGAAGCTTTTAATGCATTACATGTGAGGGACTCTCACGGTGGTTCTCAAAAGTTGGACCCAGGGAGGGATTCGGTTGGAGAGGCTCCAGTTATTGAGGTTCGACTGTAATTAAGTGGTGCTGGAATACATATGACTCAAACTATGTTTAAAAAAATGAATTAATGGAAAGTCAAGCATGCACTGATTTTTATCCTCCATTATACTGGGCTGAGACGCTGCTGGATGAAGGGAATTTTTGGCAATGTTTTCCCGGGATCTTAACATTACCGGGAGTCTTCGAACTAATGCCTTGAGCTAGAAAATCATCTTCCCAGGCTCAGTCCTCTTGCTTATTCGTCGCTTGCTCATGGTCTCCTCCTGCGCATTAGTGAGTTTTGTTGTCTTTATGTATTCCAAAGCACCCGAAACTCGAGAGTGATTTATGGCAGAGCGAAAACGGGTTTTCACCCCACTGGGGTTCGGAGTTGGGACTCCTTTTCTCAAGGTTTTCCTGAGAGAAAAAATTTTTCCGTTCTTGTCGAAACGGTTTGGTTCACAGGCCATTATTCACCCCCCCCCCCCCCCCCCCGGAATACAGGAGCAAGGAAAGTTCGAAACTTTTTTTACATCTGCTTTTTGAACCTGGCGTGGCCGTTCATCACCGTGTTTTTTGTTGTTGTTGCATGCATGGTGCAGTGGGGTTCCGAGCGAGACGCGAACCTTATTCCTGCATGTACCTCATCATCCTTATTGTGGAGCGTCCTCATGTTACCATAGACTGATGCCAACATAGTGTATTGAATTGGTTCTTCTGTTTCTTCCAAAAATTGAGAATAAGTCCCCAAGAAATTGAAAACAAATTATTTTCCTCAAGGTCATGATACGGAGAATAACCGTGCTGTAGAAAATCACGTAGTAACTTATATTTTGGGATCAGATAAAGCTGAAAATGCGAAGGACAGGAAAAATTCTAGCAATGCTGTGCACACATGATGGGCGGGAAAGAAACTCTGACAAAATTATGCACGAAAAAGCCCGTTTCTGATCGAGAGCTAGAGTACTGTGGTTTTATTATGAAATTTATCTTCAAATTTTTTTTTAAACATAAATACGCTTTAGCTCTATTTGTTTTAGAGAAATCCAAATTTTCTCCAATTCAATTTTTCCGCTTAAGATACGTTTTGGTGTGTGTCCCTATCTTGAGAAATTGTCCTGCTGTCGGGACAGATTCTTCCTGTTTCAAGCAGCCGTAAGTCGAATTATGTGCATGTCGGGGTCTCCTGGTGTTGAACTTCAGTTCCAGCAGACCCTTCCATTGTTCAATAAATTATTGATGGTACTGTATTTTTTTTTCGTTGAACCGATTCCAACAGCAAGGCGAGTCCCAATTTTTGGGAACCAGCATGACGAGTCCATCCGGGGAGAACCATCACGTGCAGTTTCTTTCCGTTCACAACCAAGTGATGACGTTTCAACACTGCGTGAACCCGAACCTGGTGTTCGCCTATGACCGGCAGCCGCGGAATTTCCATCATCATCAACAAAACGCGGGCTACCATCGCGGTGGGAATAACAGGCGACGCAATTTCAACGGGTCTGGGGATCGACATTTCGGCGGCCATCAAAGACACTTTCGTGACGGCATGGGTCATCGGAGGGTCAACAGCATGGCCGTGGTTGGAGGTGGAGAGACGCATGATCGGGATGCCTTGGCCAAAGAAATCCAAGAATCCCTTTTCTCCAACTCGTGGTACGGTTACAGTGTGTGTTAATGATAGTTCCCATGTGCGGACGAAAAATAATTCACGGGTGGACTTTCTCTACAACGAAATTCAACGGACCAGAAGATAATTCGTTGTGTCGAAAAAATCTAACTCCAGAAGGGGGTCCTATGATGTGGGACCGAAAAATAATCGTTGTACAGAAATGGTTGTTGACTGGATTATTGTAGAAAGAGTCCATTCGTATTTCTTGATTTGAACGAAAAGTGTTGAATTTGTCAAAGAGGGTTAAGGAAAGGGGGTTTTAATGTTCACTTGTGTTTTTGCTGGAATACCACGCAGGCCAGTTTAATCGAAATCAAAGAAAAAAAATGGGGTGAGCGTCACAGGTGGGCATAGATTTTTGAAATTTTTTCAAAAGTTCAGGTGTGTTACGTGTGTATCATACTCAATTCGCATGGGAAATTTTGGATGAATTTTATTGCAAATTTTCCGTCAAGAACTTATTTTTATGAAAGCAATTGGAAGTGTTGCATGTTCATTTTAGAATATTGTAGTTTCACAGAAACTACAGATAGAGTGCACGTCTAGCTCATGGATGCAATTTGTTTAAATTTTAGACTGATGCAACCCTGGTTTGCGTCCTACTTGAGGTTGTGTGGTACTCCAATGAATGTGGTATAATGTAAAATCGCCATGTGTGTGAAGAAGGAATCCATAAATAGCTGGGATAACCAGCGGTTGATCGTCAGAATTCTGTGAAACTGATCGTTTCGAGATCGGTCGCCAATCCTTCAATGCGTCGCTGTGAACTTCTTTGCTACGACTCCGTGATCATACGTGAGGACAAGGCTAGACCTTTCCCAATAAAACTAAACTAAAAGTCGTAGTAATCAGGAACAGAGAAAATTAGGTCAGGTTATTTGAAGGAAGTTTTGGGGAAGTGTCGAGAATGGTTTCACGTAAACCGTGCATCACTCAAGAATCTCAACTTCGTCTGAGAAGTCTGAAAAATCTAATTCTACAATTCATCAGTTCTCAATCCTTCTGTATGTAGTAAGGTAAGAGATAATCTCAAGTTTATTTTAAAGCTGTAATGATTTATTAGTGATTCATAATCGAAAAAAATGAAACTGAAATGTAATTCAATCCTCTTTTAGGAGGTTTCCAAGTTATTGTTCCTTCATAAATGAATGTCAGTGTTCTATACTGCCTGTAAATCTCTCATTACTTTTCATGCATATTGAACTTTTTGCTGTTGCGGTATCGTATAATGTTTCAATTTTTTTGCGCGTGTGTTCAACTACGGTTTATTTTTTTAGGGGTGATCTCCATCCGACGCGGAGGAGTAAGTCACGAAAGGGCTCGTTCGGAAGCAGCTACAACACACCTTTTTTAAAGCAGACATTGACTGTCAACAACCTGCTTCATGCACAGAGAGCTTCTTCTGAATCTCTGAATCATGAAACTCGCTCAACGGTTCAACCGGACGCGCCGTTTCACAACGTGAAGATCTTGAAACGCGGCGAAGATGCTGGTTTGTTTTGATGTGGCTATGGAACGTTGGGCTCAGCAGCAGTCACTCCTTGTTTTTATGTCTTCGTTGCCCTTGAATAGTGTGTGGAAGTCAACTTTGTTGTAGGGGGTTGCCAGAATGTTACTGTGACCGAATAAGACTGTTCAACTTGTGCTGTGCGTAAGATTCAGTTGAAGCGAATTTAGAGGTGACATGAAGTGTGTGAGGAATGCATAGAGATAATTGAATGGAAGAATCTTTCCCTTGACCTACAGCAGAAAACATAATTTTGGGAAAAATTAGGAATACCGTATGTAATCGAGTACTACGCACCATCGAGTAAGACCCGCACCTGGGAGTTTCAGTCTCAATTTTTTAAGAAATCGTATCCCCTAGTTAGTAATATGCGTAACCCACAGTTTTATAGTGACTCTGAAAGTGCAATATTTCGATAATGAGAATAACACCCAAATTTGAATTCAGGCATAAATTTAAACTGAATTCGACTGATTTTCAATTGCGTTCTTCGAAATTAGTTTTTGTTGAAATTAATCCAAAATTTTATGTTCAAATTGTGATTAATGCGCATCAAAATTTATGTAACTGTTCTATAGAAATCTTCACCCACTGATGATGTGCACCCCGTTTCTCCTGCTCAATTTTGAGGAAAAGCCCAAATTTTGAGAAGGGAACACTGCTGTAGAAAATTTCAGATGCAGTAATTGAAATGAACATGGAACACAGTGACTAACACTGCGCCTCTCTGTACAGTATGGGCATACTCGGATAATGTACAGTATTATACGATATTTTGTCGCTGCTGACGTACTTGAGATGGATTTTGCTCCCCAAATGCTGTAAACGCCTACACTGATTACATTGCAGGGTTCATCGGATTGCGACGAGATGAAGAGCACGACGATTGCGCTCGAGCATTTGACGCTTTTGACGCCATTAGGGAGGCCATGAACGGCGGTGGGGAGTTCTTGAGCGAAGGCGATAACTTGCCTGATGACGAGAGTATGGTGAAGCCAGGATTTTCTGCCAGTGATCTTGGGGTCTCCGGGGGAAACAGGAAAAAGAAGAAAAAGTCCAAGCGCGGGAAACGTTTTGTTCAGGATATGATGACTGAATAACGGAGTGATGATGATGTTTTCTTGGACGCCATTTTGGATGATTCGCGCGAGAAATTTGTCGACTGTGCGCCCCTTCCGCTTCATCGTCACCCAGCTCTCCTTTTGCACCAGTTGTTTCTGTTGCGGGAACCATTCACGTTTTGAAAGTCTTCTACTGCAGTTCAAAATTTGAACACCTTTATTTCTCCTTCAGGCTTAGAATCCGTGTCTTCTTGGCGGGATCAGATCCATTTTTGAAATTCCGATATTTTAAATGTAGCCTCCCTTCTTCTGTCCTTCAGCATTTAAATCCGCTGTTCTACATCTGTTCTCCCGTCTTTCACCGATAGCAACTCCTTTTTAGCGTAAATTTTCATGAGCTGAGGATTATTCCTGGAAGTTTAATTCGATGAATTTCTTTCATCAATGTTATTTTTTTCGAGAGATATTAGTGTACTTGCGATTTTCCAGCATGCTCTTCATCTTCCCTTATATCTTGAAACCCGAATCCCGAAATTTTTACTCTAGCGAGACATTCTTTCAAAATGGTTGATATTCAAAATTCAGCGAGTTTGATAAATTTTTTGGGGATAATTTCTGTTGATCCATGAAGCTACAATTCAATTTCTTGCAGAAGTTTTGCGCGATTTCGGGCGATTGCAAGTGAGAGTTGTTTGAATCATCGGTATACCTCGAGTGGTGAAGTCTGAATTTGGTGAGTCGATCTTATCCAACGTTTTAACGAGATGTCCGTGAGTCTCACGTGTTGGTATCGCATAGATTTTTGAATTTCTGAACAATTCTTTGGGACTGAGTAAGCATGCCGTGCATTGTTCCGCAAGAGCCTGAGCTGCGCAACTGGAGTAACTATCGTCAAGTTTCGTCGTCGCATTGCAGCATAGTACAGGTATGTAGAACTCCTTTTTTTGTCAGCTGCGTGGCTTCGGAAACCTGTTTGCAAATGCCTGCGCTGCTTGACCAGTTTTCCGATTTAATTTCTCCACAAACTTCTTCTCCGCCTGTAGTTTTTGTCCATCGACCAGGTGTCGCCTGAGTGTTGTTACTGTGGCTAGGCCATTTTATTCAAGTGTAGTTGCATTTGGTCAGGTTGGTGCGTGTCAAGGGGTTGGATTAGAGTAGAATGGGCTTTTTTACGTTTAAGGTCAGAAAGCTTTGTTCCAAGTCAGGATAGGTTTTTTCACATGCAATGGACCCTCAATTGAAAAACGTTATTAGGCCGAGATGACAGAAGTGTTATGACTCAATTTCATTTTCCTCTCTTAATGCTCAATTGAGAATAAAGTAACCCATTTATTCTTGGAACCCAAGGAAAACTGAAAATATTGCATGGCAAGTATTCGCTCAGAATGAGTCTGTCGGGGTTCACATGGCTTTTGCTGGGTTGTTCGGAAGTATGACTAATGGAAATAATACTCTTGAGCTTCTCATCCAGAAAAACATGAACGAAGTAGGACAACGGTCACCGCAAAATGAAATGTTGATTTTACCATTCTGTAACTATAGAGAACAAATTCAGCAGGTGAACATCGGAAACAATTAAGATAATGTGTTTCAGAAGTTCCTTTGCTCAGCACAGCTCCTTTATCACAGCTGGATATCATTTGTTCGATTGTGTTCTGCTCAAACAATGGAACATACATTGCACCCCCTCATTTATTCAATTTATGTTGAACAAGCTTGAAAAATATTGTGTAAGCCTCAGCTCTTCGTAATAATTGTTCTGCTTCATTTGTCGATTGCTGGAACTCCAATTGGAATCTACCCTACAGTTCAATATTCCGTGACCGAATTCAGATTTCTTCCTGTTCAAGCATAAGCTTTTCAACTGAATTTTAGTTCGTTAACTGAGGGGTTTTTCTTCGAAGACAAAAGTTCCCTGACCAAAAAGTTGTTGACGAAGGGATCACTGTACTGTATCTATGCAGGCGGAACGTACCTCAAACTTCCAACAAAGAATGAGATCCTTATATGGAGTACAGTAATGTTTGGTGATCGCTGCGGTTTTCGCCGAACAACTTGACGATGGTTGCCTTTTATTCCATTTGACAGCTATTTTATGAGAAATTTCAACTTCAACTATTCGAATCATCGCAGGTGAATTTGGATGTGAACTGGCGCCATCATGGTGCCATGATCGGGAAGCATGGATGGCGCATCGGCGCTGTGTCCCAGCAAACTGCAACTGTTGTGCGTTTTCCGCACAAGTCTCCTGACTGCGGGTCGGGCGAAGGAAATTCGATTGGAATCGCAGGTTTTTTTTCGATTTGTGATACATTATTCATGCTCAACTGTTTTACTCATGCAAGAAAATGTGGTGTCCGAAATTCGATGCCTCATTTTAAATTTCTTGCGTATTATCGGTGTAAATTCCGAAATGTTTTTCGTAAAAAATCGTTTAAAGCGGGAAAAGGTTGAACCAATCGGTCCTCATCATTTTACCAAAATTCCCTGCACCGCTAAAGAAAAGTGTTCGGCAATGTAAATCAGTGCAGTAAATGTGAATATCAAGCAACGGGTGCGGATGTATAATTGATGTGAAATTTTCAGCAGCGACATCTGCATAGAACAGAACATTCATGAGTTGAATGCAAAATTTCGGGCACGTTATCGCGAGGCTGACAAATTTCTGACCGTCCCAGTATAATTTTCCATGGACCCCACATTTTCAAATGCGTGCTCTACAGAACAATGAATTGCTCGTGAGAAACATAAGTTTAGTCATTTCTCGTTGGTTCCGGAGAAACAGTGCCCATCGTATTATGAAAAAAAACAGAGTCTATAAGATGAGAAAATATGAATGATGCTCAAGGATCGTTTTTCCGTAACTATATATAGGCCCGTTGGGAGCAGTTGAACATGCCTTCAACCTGGTACAGGGCTTGGTGCCGGTAGAAGTAGAGATACGAGGCAGGGACGCCTTGAAGTTGCTGGAAAATCCTCGCGAAGATATTCGAGCTCTGAAGATCATGTGTGGCGTCCATATCCGCGTGGACAAGGACAAAGAGGTGGCGCACATCCGATCCGCCTCTGGACCAGATCCAGTCTCACTGGCTGTCAAAGCCCTTCAGCGTTTCTTACGTAAGCAACATTCATGGATTAACTTCCCTGCTACGGGGTGCTGTCACAATCTGAAGAAGGTACCTGAGGGTATTTTTATTTTACAATTTCGGACTAAAAGTAAAATCTCGTTAAAACAGACTCGTGGGACTTCTGGAAAAGTTTTTTTCAGTGCATAATCAATAATTTTCCTATAACGAGGTTTTGTAAATATTGACGTGATTTGAAGATTTTCTTGGAATTATGCCTGCAAATATTTAGCATCTTCCTTTTGTGGCCTTTCAAATGTTTTTCAGTGTTTAAAAAAAGTGATCTTCAAAAATAAATGTGTATGCTAATGAGAAACATTTACTCTGAATAATGGGCGAACACTAGCACTTTTTGTTGACTTCTAGTTTTTAAAAAGAAATTCCTTCACATACATGGATGTTCCAAAAAAGCATACAATTTTTAAGCTTCAGTAGGGTTTCTCAAACTAACGAACCAATTTTAACACACGTTTTGGTGCGTCCATTTTCATCATTGTACTGAAAAAAATTGTTGTGACGGTATTTTTGGTAGCGAGATTTTTCTGTGTACTGTATTCAATGAAGAATGTGTTGGAACAATGGTACTCGAATTATCCAGCTCAAAACAAAGATGCAGCATTCCGCCCTGACTCTTGATGCGACACAAATTTTATTTATCTTCTCCAAAGTTAATGAAGTAAATCATTTTAAGAATTGGATCCTTTTGCGGCTGTATTCACAGAAAGAATTCATTCTACCGGGCAATGGAAGGCATGCACTTCGACGTACGTACAGTAAATATAATTCCAAAGTCGGTTGTCAAGCTTTTGTTTTCCAATACTGTAGGTGTATTTCCTCGAGAAATCTAGAAAGTTGTAGAGATTTCAGAAGTGCAGCTGCACCCTTACTTGTGCAAATATAGAATCTTGGTGTGAACTGTTCAGATTTTTGTCATCGGGTTGCATGACCTGCAGAAGAAGAGAATTATCATGGCATTCGGAGGGACATCAATACGGTATGGTAAAATCTCATTTCGACAGCAGATACCATTTCAACAATTTTATTCAGTTTAAAGCGGCTTTTTGTCAAGTCCTGGTAGAATAAAGCACGGCATATCGTACATTTTGAAAGAATCTTGTTGCAATTCCAAGACAACAACGTTTTTGAGGAATGTTAAATAGATTCTTCTGGTAGAAGTTTTCTCACTGAGTAAGGTAGGCGCAGTACGGAAATTTCCAATCCGAAGTGTGACTGACGATTCAGACATGCATGTCTGGATACTGTATAATCACTGCAAACCTTGCTTCCAAGTGGTTCCACACATCATCCACCCAGAATCACTGAAAAGGATGGAATGCATGATTAAGGCTTTTTTTTTTAAATATAAAATTACTCAGTTTTTCGAAGGATGACGAAAAATCGGAGAATGCCGGAAAAGCAACATCCAATCGATAATGAATATGTCTGATGTAAACTTTTTTCCAGTCTTTAATTTTGAGAATCTTATTTTATATCAAATTATTTGGTACCGTGTAAAACACTTCCTCTCGAGTCATCCAAAGTTTGTTGTAGTTATCTATTACTGTATATGGGAAAGCACTTCGAGAAATGTGAGGGAGTTTCTAAAATGATCTCTTGAACTTTCACGTGTCTCTCGTCATCATCCTACTGCTGGTGATTGCGGTATCAGGTTGGTCACATGTTAACCATCGCGGTTTTTTTTTTCTTCTCCACCAGCGGAAGAGCAGATGGAAGTGGTGTTCCGTCTCCAGGCGTCAGTGGTGTATCGTGACACACTGGAAGACGTCCTGCAGCAGATGGATTCCAGGTCGTTGTGCACAGTCATGATCGGAGCGGAAGTGGAAAACGAAGGCGAGTTCCACGTGGACATCGCCGGTGGTGTGGATGAAGTGATGTCATTTGCTTCGTTGCTTGAGGGATCCTTACCGGTTTACATGACCGTCACCGTGCCGAGAATTTTCCACCTGGATGAGGACTCTCTGAAGCAATTCGGTCCCTCAGTGAGCACGATGATACGAGTTCCAAAGTGTACCTCATGTTTTGTTACGCGTGTGCTCAGTTCGTTTATTTAGGAAGAAAGTATCTCCGATTCGATGTAATGTGATATACAGTACTGATTTGAAATGTGACCTTCGAAACATGGGACAGAAAAAACCGACGATTTCCAATTCTTAGGACAATTAGGCCTTGAATTTGTTTTTAATTTTTTTTTCTGTTGTTTCCTATTACATGCGTCCTATTTCCGTTTCCTTCGGAGGCATTGTGTGAGAGTAATCTTATTTTGTCCTTTTGAGCATTTATGGACGATTTTAAAACAACCCAAGTATAATAAATATTCAGCGGACGACAGTCAATTTCGATGCCTATACCGTATTTACATTCTCTTCTCGAGATGTATTACTGTCATTTTCTGCTGTCATCCTGGCTGTGAAGTATTTAGGTTTCGTAAGACAGTAAAATACAATATTAAACCAGCCATAGTATATACGGTAGTCAAGATGATTACCTAGTTGCTTATCTGACATTTACAAAAACACTTGAAACTTCGAAATGCTGTTTCTATGTAATGCAGTCGATCGTGAATCGGTCTAATTTAACGCTTTACCTTCCCTGATATACCTTGTATTGAATCGGCCGTATGTGTCGCCCAAATTTGATGGTTCGGTTGTTTTTATGCACGAATGAAGTCGGCGTTTGTAACGAAAAATCACTTTTTATGGAATTTGTCAATCGGTTAGAATGGTGATATGAGTAACATGCGTAACCGACTTTCCAGAAAATTGGATCGGGAATTGAAGGGTGAAGAGCTTGTCAGAAAGGGAGCCACTAGTATGGAGTAGAAGCGAAGATCAACCCACTTACATCTCTTCAATGTTTCAGCTGTACGTGCATAAACCCCCGAAGGACACAGCGCGCGGTCGGCAGTACATCTTGTCCACGCCGAAGAACCAAGCTGCTTTCCTTTTCGCTGCTGCACGCATCATTTTGGGACAGATCGAAGCCGCCGGCATCATGTCAGCTCCGGCATTCGCCACGCCTTCTTTGCATCCCGTCAACGCCTCGTCCATGATGTGCCCGGCCGTCAACAACCGCGGGCCGCATCCGGGAACAGCAATGCAAGTCTCATCTGCGAATAATGATGATCAGCAACGAGTAGTTCCTCTGCCATTCGTCCCACTGCATCGCAGGGACGCGAGTAGAGCCACTACTGCTGGACTCCTGTTCGCTGGAAATAAGGATGCCCGAACGGACCCTGCTGGTGTTAGTGGTGGTGGTAGTGTTGCCAGGGTGAAGCGTAACAGTGGGGAGGTCAATGGAACGACGATGAGACGTGCCCGTGTTGGTAATTTTACGGTACAGTACCACACGCCCTCGATGAGTTAAATACGCACCAGGTTTTTTACTTTCGAAATGTGTATTAAATTACATCCCTGACAACAAGGCATGAACCCTATTTTTAGTGACTCTGGAACTGCAAGTTTTCGAAATAATAACACCACAATCTGGATTTACGAGGGTTATGGTTCCATGAGGTTTGAGACTTCTTGAAATAGATTCGACTAAGTTTCAAAACTGTGTATGGGTGAATCCAACGAGCAAAACAGTGCCGAAAGTTGATTCCTTTTAGTTTATTTAGGTCCCCTGTGACTTTCTGTTCTCGACAGAGGAGAAAGACCTGGAACAGATTGATTTTGAGCACAGGGACAGCCTTATTTCCGCCGTCGATGAGCAGCTTGATCGACCAACGGAACTTGGACTTTTGGCACTGTTTTGATTATTGGATTTATGCATTGAAATCGGTATAGGGTGTGTTGAACAGCGATGAAGTGTTGCCAAATGATGGCGCTATGCGAGTAACATGTTTGTTCTTGAAATTATGAAACTTTTCCGACAAGCTTTAAAACTTATGAACCAACGCTCAGTCATTTAGTCCTAAGTGCAACTAATTTCGAAGTATTTTAATTACACTAAGTTCTTTTATTGAAGTTGGTTCGAGATTTTCCAGTATAATCAAATATTCAATGCACACCTCAATTTGTAAAACGTTCGAAAATGTATACGTGTCTATGACGCGCACTCTCCATTTCCCCTCCCATTTGAAGAAAAGGGTGCGCGTGGTATTGGAGTATATATGGTGTTTGACGAAAAGAAATCAACGTTTTTCGAAGTGTTCATCGCACGCATTATCCGACAAGTTATTTCAGCTGTGTGTCGTTGCTTCAGGATCGCGGTGCCATCGTCACACCGTCCAGTAGGAAGCCGTGTGCAGCCCAGCAGCATCAGGACCGCAAGAATGTATACGGTCGGGGCCAGCAGCAACAGCAGTGCGACGGAAGGCATCGGTCTTCGTCGCCTTCAGCTGCAGTTCGTCGAGTGTCGTCCACGACCGGAACTGGTGGGACGACCATCACGGCCGCTGTGTCGTCGCAGCACCGTGGTGGACGCTATGGCCACTACGGGGACGTTATGTGGAATCGCGGACTGTCTTACCGGAAACCCAACAACGATAGCTCCAGCACCGGTAGAGTTCTGGCGACCAATAACGGAAATAGTAATTCTAGACGAGTCTTCGGGCGCCAGCAGCAGAAAGTCGGTGGAAATTCTCGGTGAGAAATTCTATTTTTTCCTCACTGAGGCGAATCCAGTATTGGGACCCCGACGTAAGGTCGATTCGACTAAGGGACACTTGATGACTTTAAAAATATGCCCGACTTCCCAGCTAAGTCTCGAGATACGGAAACATTACCGGTATTTACAAAATAACAGGCGGCATTTTATTTTTGGAAATGTTGATTTCTCATAAAAAAAAGTAATCTTTTTCCAAAATGAAAAAGAAGTCTTGAAAATTCATTATAAACTTGTTGAAAATTTTGAACAGGCTAATTTTGTGCTTCTATTTTCAGAGTTATTTTCATCATCTGCGCAGTATGTGGAGACTTGTGATTATTGTTTGGTTTTTGGATCCATTCCATGCCAAAATATTAGATCCTTATAGATCATGTGTGATTTTCTACTGCACAGTTTTTTGTTGTCTTGAAATTGAGACAACGCATCTTATTCAAAATTTTGAGGGACGTCCTCCTACTTTCTGATCGACAAGAGAGCCGATTAAATACATTCGCAATTGAAGATTAAGGGAAAATGTGATCCGACATTCGGACAAGGTCCAAGAACCAATTACGTCCGCATCTCGGGGCCCTACTGTGAAGTACATTACATATGACCATAGCTGACTGCATGTCCAGAACATATGAAGTGATGGAAGCACTTTTTCTGTGCGAGGCTGTCGTTGAAGAAAGTGTCGATTATCGATTACAACATTTGTTTCCACACTGGAGTGTCTCATATATTACAATCAGGGAACAGTTTGGTTGGATTAGTCGAGTCATTTTTAAGCCTCACTGAAAAATTAGTCTCTCTGATCGACTGATGAGACTACTATGAATGGGTCATAAGCAGGGTGGAAGCACTCTTTTTCCTGTCCTTTGTTTTCATCATTGTTTCAGTTGGAAGTTTTTCGCACATCACTTTATCAACGCTGTTTGTGCAAGAAAACGGAACTAGCAACTGTATGTATGAATGAATGTATGAATGAATGATGACTGTATGTAGAAGCACGCCTCCATCAATAACTCTTACGTTTTGTTGTTTTTTTCTTCTTCTTCATAATGCCAATTGGGACTCACAAAATATTATTGAGCAATTGAATTACGTTGGACAATTCTTTCCCAGGGCATCTCAGCGATTCGGAAAGAACGTGGATCCTGCTGGACCTGAAGACATTGTGAAAAAGCGGTCGAGCTCTGGAAGTGCCGGCAGCACGAACAGCAGTGAGAACAACGAAGCTCTGACGAAAAGCTTCAACAGACCCAAGTTGTTCAACAAGTCGGGCGTGAAGGGAAAAAAGCTCGGTGATGGACCATCATCAGCAGGCATCCTGCTCAACAAGTTCTGTGCTGGTGGAGGTGGCGATGCCCCGGCTGCATGCCCTCAGCAACCAGCCGCCCCCGTCCGCAAACCCACGCCTCATGTTCCTAAACGTGCTGTTGCCGATCGTGATGAGAACAAGAAACTGCAAGAGAAGGCGTTCCTGGAATTGCAAGACCTGATGGCGACGTTTGCAGCTGCAGTCAGCATTGACAAGGACAACAAGGAGAATGACACTGGAGGAGTTCGAGGAGACACCTACAATGATAAAAGAGCGTCTGGTGGACTAGGAGGTGGAGGCAGAGATGACGGCGGGGGAGATGGAGAACTGCTGCAACTGATGGAGTCGGCGGAGTTGAGGCAGGCGTTATTGCCTCGAAGGGTCATGGTGCAGATGCCGACGGATGGTCGTGGTGACGGGGCACATGTCATCGCACTCGGTGAGGTACCCGTCGTTTTCTTTTTTCCCCATTTTTTTCATAAAATGTTGGTTCATTTTCCGAACGGTGTTCCTCAAAACTGGTCCAATATTTGCCCCATTGAAGAAGGAACTACGTTTTGCGGACTGGCTCGTGCTGGTCAGGGGGTAAACTTTCCACATATACCCGAGTCGTGGCCTAAATGTCGAATTTTTTGATAATATCCGTGTAATGCCGTGAGAAAGCATTTCACAGTCTGACTGCATGAGCATTGATTACAAATACACTTCGCATGACCTCCGTACATCATACTTCAAGCGAGTATTTACTGAAGTATACGACGCGCCCCTCAGTTTTTATTTGGCATGTAATTTGCACAAACATTTATCCCGACACGCAAACCAGGTTTACATGGCTGAAAATCGAAGTTATAATTTTGAACGGAATACAGTGTAATCTCATGATCGAATAGACGAAGATGCATCACTTTAACGTACTGAATTTAAACCGAACAAATTTCCCTGGTCCTTATTTGCCTATATGAGGTAATCAGTTTTGCTCCGGAAAATGTATATATACTGTATATATATACAGTACAGTACTCGCATACCACGCGCACCCACCCCACTTTTCTGGCCTGATGTTGCGGAAAAAAGGTTTGGTTTTTTTAGGAGAAATTCGAATCCTCGCAAGCTGACGCTCTTAACTGGCAATTGGTCGTATGCCATTGTGAGTTAGATCGGGATCACGAAATTGGCTGAAACTGATACAGTACACGTATATCCTTGACCCGATTCAGAGGTTTTCAAGTGTTGCGCATTCACGAGGTGGTACGACGGATATCTTCGATTAAATGTCGTCAAAGTCATGTGCTTTATGAGAAATCAAGATGAACGGTGAAGAAGTGCTTCAGCGGTTTAGACCTGATAGCAGTTGAAATACCTTCTGGATACTAGGCGAAAAAGATGAAATTTCCATCAGCAATAGAGGACGATCGATGAAATGAGTCGGCTGAAATTATCCCGTTTTGAACTTCACAGACTTGCATTTACTGTACTGTTGGATACTTGAGACCGGGATATACAGTATTCGTACAGCTGGTAAAGTAAAAATTTCTAGGCGCACCTTCGGAGCCGTCATGCCGTGAATAACAAGGAACCGCGTGCTTTATATGACTTGTGTTGTGTGAATACCGAAACACGAGGTTTCCCACTTCCTGGATCTGTCGCTTGAAAAACAAAGAACAAAATAATCTTCCAGTTCAATGAAAAATTAAGTTATGGAATAGGGTTATAATACTCACCGTTCTCAGGAATTACCGTCCTTTCAATGCATTGAGTTCACGAGACGAAACAAGAAATTGACGGGAAGTCGAATTAGAAAAAAAAAACGGAGGATGGCTGGGATTTTGAAGTTCAGTACTATTTTGCGGTAATCAAATTTTTAGGATTTATAAGAAATTTCATCCTTTTTACTGGCCGCAACTGAACCGTGGACTTATTCGCCGTCAAACATCAGGGCAGGGATATGCCGCATGCACGAAAATCAAGAGAAGTTGAATGGATTCATTGAAGAAAATAACTGGAATCAGTTTTCAATAGCTTCTCAGTTGGAAATGCTTTTTCATTTAAAACATCTTCAAAATTAGAAATACAGTATGTATCACTCAACAGTATCTATTATATTTACAAATGTATGTCGCCGCAAAAAATGTGAAATATCGAGAAAATTCCAACATGCTAATATGTCCGTCTGCAGCAATGCTGAATTCCCTGAAAATCGGCTGGGTTTTGGGAAAATGGGGGAAATTATGTTCATGTACTCGTGTGCAGTTATTTTCTTCGAATGCAGCAGTGATGGTTGCAACATTCACAGCTCGATTTCTCATTCTGTGCATTAGGGCATTGACGTTTCAACAGATATGCGACCGGGAAGCAATGCCATTGTCGACTGATGCTGGATTTTTGATGGTGATGGGAGATTGTGAATTTCCAAGAGTGAAGCAGAGAGAAATTCCTGAATATCTCTTAGTTATTCTGTTGGCTGCCATGCGGCAGAAGAGTTCTCTTCTCAACGTTTCAAGAAGCTTTTATTCGTTTATCCATTTATTCTCCTTTGGTTCTCCGGCTGATGTTTGTGATTGTTCGCGGACGGAAATTTCTTTTCCTGATATTTCTGACGTTCATTCGAATAGTTCCTCGTTCTCGAAGTTACGAACATTTCGGAGGTGTTTTTACTAATTTTTGTTATTATTGTCGAATATTGTGTGATGCACATGAGGCACATGCGTTCCCTCCACTTCCGACTGGGTAAAAAGACGCATGTCAAAATGGTGATATTTCCTGACGTGGGTTCTAGCTACAGTATCAGCAAATAGTATGTTGAACTGAAGTTATTTTTAGTCTTCCTTGAATTATTCCCCTTATTTATGGTTTGAATAATTCTGGATGCATTATTTAGTTCCTTAGAACATTGGTGCTTGCGAATATCTGGCCCTCGAACATCAGAAGCCTCTAGCTAAATTGAAGTACAGTAGTGTACTACATTTCCTCTTGAATATCCTCTACTACTGATCCCAAAATTTTTGAAACTGATCAAATTTTACATCCTGGAATTTGTCATTCTCTGTTTCTCAAATTATTCATCTTGCTTTTCAGCTAACTTTTGCAGATGAGGCTTACCTTGAATTCAACACAAGCTTTTTGATACGACTTCTCATGATGTTATTGATGCTGTCACTCTTCTTGTTGACTTCAAAATATTCTCCCTGATGGAGTTGTCCAAGTTCAAAAATTTGGGAAAGAGCTCAATGCCCTTACACTGCTTACTGCTTATGAGCTATGTGCTCAATTGCCTTTTCACTTTCATTATTTTTCATGTGCTTTGCATTTGCCATTTCCTATAATCATCCTAGTAATATTTTGCTCATGTCTACCCACTTTCTTCATCCGTATTCTAAGTCTGATTATGCCTTCCATTCCCTCCAGATGTTCAAGGCCAATGCATCTAATAAGTCACCAGATCTCCGACTTGACTTCTCATGTTTTTTTTCCATCATCATTTTCTCCAGCATTTTTCTCCAATAAACCAGAGGTGCCCAGCCACACCTGGGCATTCGAAGTTTTCCAAATTATTCGGAATTCGAAATTTCTCATCAATCATTGTCACATGTGATACTGGCTTTGCCATGCAGTTCACAACTTACTCATCGACAGGGTTCTTTTATGGAATCCAAACAGATTGAAAATTTTCAGCATAGCATATACAGTATAACCATGTTCCCCAACTCCTGGTCCCTTGACTGTCTCACATCTTTTTTGGGCCCATTTTGCGAGAAGGTCAGAAAGTTCACTGTGGACATTATTTGCACACCAGTATTTGAACCATTTCATTATGACGAGGGGTATTTGAAAATTTTGGAGTTCAAAAATGTAGCCCTTGAGGCCCATTTGCTGAAAAAAAGGTCTAAAATTGTGTCCTACCCCCTCTGCAGAGAAGTGCAATGTTTATGTCAATGTCAGCTCCAGGTGCATGATACTGTTTCACATGCCATTATTTTGAATGATTTGAACAACCACATGCCCATTGAAGGTGTATGCAATGACATTTGTGTTGAGTTAAAACAATTCTCAAATATGAAAATTTGAAAAAGCTATACCCGAAAGTGAAAATTTCAGTGTAAGAAGCTATTTCTACTTTACCTCTTCAGGGATTTTTCAGCCAATCTAAAAATTCACAGAGACGTTGTACAAAAAGGTGCTTGTAAAATACGAAGAATCTTGTTTTTTTTTTATCGTGAATTCTGTTCTTGCTTGAATTTTTCAAAGAAATTCGGGTTTTATAGTTTTACATAGCAATTTTTCAATGTTTTTACCCAAAAAAACTTTAAATGAGTAGAGCTTTACTGAACATCCACTGATCTTGAATTTGCTAAATTTAAATGAAGTCTTTTGTCATATGGGTTCCCAGCAAAGACTGGCAATCTTGGGAAGGCAGATGTTCGGGCACTGGCATATGTCATTGCCATTCAAGAATGGTGAGGATTGCAGCCAACGTCCTTCTGTTCATAGGGGTTGGGAGAAGGCAATGGCTTGTTCAAGCAATGTTCAAGTGAACATCGCTGATACATTGTTGAGTGCACGGGGACATTTGGATTGGCCTCATTTAGGGGAACATTTGCTTGTTTTGAATGCCCTTCCAGCAAATAATTTGGCCATTGCAACCTGCATTGCAAAGCCATTGGCAAGTCATTTGGGACCCTAAGGTTGTGCCAATGGCCATTTGGTCTCTGTCCAACAGCTGGGAGCAGATGTTTCCCAGGACATTGGAAAATGCATGAGGAGATCAAATAATGTTTATCGTGTACTTTCCCACAGGTTGTCAAAAAAAAAATTGTGAAATCCTGGGTGCTGGGCGCAGAATTATTTTGCACAAAATGTTGTCTGAAAATTGAGAAAGCTGAAAAACTGTAAAGCAAAATATTACTGAAATGTATAACTGTATATGTATATGTACTGTATATGTATTACTGTATGTATGTATGTATGTATTATAGAAATGAAATTGTATCACCTCCAATATTCTCAATAGGTGATTCACATGGATTTACTCCATACTGAAGAAGGGGAACCAGCAGTTCATGAATACCTGAAATCAAAAAGTTACCGGCATGTTTATGGG